CACCTTTGCCTGTTAGAACGATCACCTCTCTGGGCAGGGAATGGTCAGGGTGGACAGAAATGCTGGTAGGCAAAAGGCCGGAGGTGTTTAGGAGGCCAGTGTGCTGTCATTTGGAGAAGGGAGGGCGTCCCTACTGTGTGCCTGGGGAGGAGGGCTGGCTCCGGAGCGCTCCCTGGGAATTCTGCTGTTTCCACGTTAATCCAAGGCTGCTGTTTGGGACTGGTCTGTACACACGTGTCCCAAGAGAGGGCACTGGAGCTCAGTGATGTATCAGGGACTGAAAGCAAGGCTGCACCCAGGAAATGCTGGTTAAAAGCCCGGCAGCATTTTCCTTAGGTCTCTGTTACGGAAGGCGACGCCAGGGTGTTCAAGATCACAGGGCAAATTTGTGGCAGGAGGTCAATGCCTTCCAGCTCCATTTGTGGCCGTTGGGCTGTTCGGCTCTTGCCAAGATTTCTCAGCATCTCAGTACAACAGCAGAGACTGAGGGAACATGAGGATTCAAATGACAGCAGTTGGAAACTTTATTGTATACACACAGCTGGAGAAACAGAGATTGTTTCCCTCTGAGGCATTGCACTGTTCATGCTTCCATGGGCTGCCACCAACTCCTATGATTTAATAAGAGGATTTTTCATTTCTCGTAGTCACCATAACGATCTTTGAAAACACGGTGAAAAATTATATCATGAGCCCTTGCTGACCTCTTTACATTTTCCTAAATGAAACTATATGGGGTAAAAAATAAATGAATAGTTTACAGTCATATTAAACTAGGACTGTCGATCATTTTGTAAAGCCTTACTACACTAAGATTAGAAGATTTCTTGCAAAAATAAATAACTAAATGGAAACAGGAAATTACATAGTTTTAGCTCATTTGATTTCAGAATAACAATGATCTAGATTCCATGGATTTAATTTAGTAAAGAGATTTAATGTTACATGCAGCATATTCACTAGCTGTCTGCGCCTTGGTGCGTTTCTCTGAAATGTCAGGGCTTCTCTGATCGCTGAAGTTACTGATAGCCAAAATCTCTTCCCTCGTCTCAGGTAAATCAGGGCATGATAGAAGCTGCATTACTTCATTTGCCCACTAAGTACTGAGCACCTTATTAAGAGCTAAGTACTCTTTTAGGCTCTATCAAGAGAACAATGTGAAAGAGAAAAATTCATTGCTCTCTTCTTACAAAGAAACAAGTGATTCAGCATCTCTGGCCATTCAAGAGATGCAAATTAAAACAACACTGAGACTCCACCTCACCCCCAAAAGGATGGCTACCAATAACAGCTGGCGGAGCTGTGGGCAAAAAGGAATCTTTCTCTACTGTTGGCAGGAATGCAGACTGGTGCAACCACTGTGGAAATCAGTGTGGAGATTCCTCAAAAAGGATTGGAGGTCCTATTGGACCCAGCTATTCTCTCTCTGGATATCTTCCCAAAAGAATTAAAAACATTGTATCACAGCAAAATGTGTGCACCCATGTTTATAGCAGCTCAGTTTATAATAGCCAGATCCTGGAAACAACCTAAATGCCCATCAACTGATGGATAAAAAGATGTGGTATTTTTGTACAATGGAGTACTGCTCAGCTATACAGAATGATAAACTAGACCCTTTTATAAGTAAATAGATGTCCCTTTAGGACATACTCCTTAGTGAAATAAATAAGACACATATGTAAACATCTTATTGTTTCATTAGTGTGGCAAGCTAAAAGGAAAAAACGTATGTATATGTGTGTATATATGTATATAAAAATAGTTAAGATAGTTATGGTACTGATTTCTGTGAGTTCACTGAAGAGAAAGATTTGCACGGTATTATTTGGACAATTGCATGCAGATGTCTTGTGCACTGGGTAAATGATTTGGGGATGACCGTGTGCAGGGTATGTACCATTGTTACCCCCTGATTGACGCACTTTTAAATTTTATCGTATACTTTTTCTTCTTTTCTTTCTTTTTATGTTTGAATAAAATGGATTTGAGGAAAAATAAGTTAAATATTAAAAAAACAAATAAGTGAATATATAGAATGCCTGATGGCAACAAGCGATTTGAAAAAAGCAGTATTGCAAAAACAACTGTACATGTAGAAATCTTGGAAGCAGGGGAACTGTTCATCTAATGCTTTGAGGGCAAAGGTGAGAATCCGGGGATTGACTCTCAGATGAAAACGCAAGGGAAGCCAGGGATGTAGCTCATGGCACAATGTCTGCCTGGCAAGTGCAAGGCCCTGAGTTCAATTCCCAATGCCAAAAGGAAAATCCAGGGGAAACCTGCAGCTGCAGTATGATATAATCTGACCCACACTTTAAGGTAATTCTGGCTTCAGCACTGAAACTAAACTATAAGGAAAAACGCCCCAAAGAAAAAGTATAAATATCACTGAAGTTCCTTCAGAGGGACAGAACCCTTAGAGTGTGGGTCTGAATCTGCGAGTGTTGTGGAGTGGTGTATTTTAAAAGATTAGCTCATGCAGTTATGGAGGCCGGCAAGTCTGAAATCTGCGGGACAAAGGAGCAGCTTGAAAGTTGGAGTAAGAACTGATACAGCTTGAAGTCTGAAATCTGCAGCACAAGCCAAGCAGGCTGGAAACTCAGGCAGGGTTTCTCTGTTGTAATCGGGAGAACAAACTCCTTCTGAAGGAGGCTCTGTTCCCTGCTTGTCCCTGCCTCCTGGTAGCTTTCCAATGGTCTCTCACATTCCTTGGCTCGTGGATGCAGCACCCTGATTTCCGCCTTCATGTTCACATGACATTGGTGCTGTGTGCAGGGACGTGTCCGTGTTTCCCCTTTTTATTGGGACACTGGTCACATTGGAATGAAGCCGCCCTACTCCAGCACAGCCTCATTTTAACTAATGACACCTGCAACAACTCTGTTTGCACAAAGGTTATATCACAAGGCACTGTAGGCTATGATTTCATCACAGAAGCCAGAGGAAGGTGCAAGTCAGGTTATAACACAGGATGATCGCTGTGAACAGAGGAGCCATTGTGCTTGGCTAGTGAGCATTAAAAAGAGAGTTGGTGATCAATAGCCTTGACCTGAAGAAAAATGGTCAAGTTGCCATTTATTGATGTGGTAAAGTCTGCGGAAGGAGACGGTTTGGATGGTGAAATCAAGAGTCTAGTTTTGAACACTGTCTCAGTTCATATTCTGTTTCTAGAACAAAATATTAATACCAGGTAATGTATCAAGAATAGTGGTTTATTTGGCCAACAAGAGTGAGTTCTGGCTTCCGTTTAGCCAGTGATAAAGCTTCCTATCACATCACAGCACAGCACAGGGCACCCATGGCAAGGCAGCATGTAAGATCACTTTTATAACAAAGCAAGTCCATAAATGGGCTTCATGACCCAAATACTCAAAAAAAAGGTAAGGCGGGGGCATCACAATCCCTGACTTGAAATTATACTACAAAGTTACGGTGATAAAATCAGAATGGTACTGGAATTAAAACAAACCTGCAAATTACTGGAATAGGTTAGAAGATATGACCTACAAACACACTCAGCCACCTCACCTTTAACAAAGGGAACAAACATGTTCACTGAAAGAAAGATAGTCTGTTTAATAAGTGGTGCTGGGAAAACTGGCTCTCCATATGCCAAACACTAAAACTAGATCCATGTCTATCACTGTGTACTAAACTAAAGTCAAAATGGATCCAAGATCAGAAACACTAAATCTGCTGGAAGACAAAGTAGGTAGGAATCTTGACAACAAAGGATTAAGCAGAGTTCATGAACAAAAATCAAACTTCACAGAAAATACTTCCCAGAAACAACTGGGTTCATGTCTTATTAAAAAATTTTGCAAGTCAAAAGAAATCTCCAACAGAGTGAAAAGAAAACCCACAAGTTGGGAAAATATCTTAGCCAACTGTCCCTTCTATCTAGAACACATAAATAATTTTTTAAAAAATCAGGTCTCCAAAATTCAAGGAGCCAATCTAAAATGGGCATCAGAGATGAATACACAGTCCTTAGATAAAGAAATACAAATGTTAAATAAATATATGAAAAAATATTCAGCATCAATGGTCATTCAGGAAACGCAGCACTGAGATTCCATCTTACCCCAGAAAGGATGCTATTACTAAGAAATCAGCCAATAACAAATGCTGGAGGGACTGTGGGGAAAAAGGAACTCTTCTCTACCGCTGGAAATGTAGACTAGTGCAACCACTGTGGAAATCAGTGTGGAGATTCCTCAGAAAGCTAGGATTAGAGAGTCTAACTGACCCAGCTCTCCCACTTCTGAGCATTTTCCCAGAAGAATTGAAAACATCATACCACAATGATATATGTGCACCCATGTTTATAGCAACACAATTTGTAATAACCTAATCATGGGAACAATCCAAGTGTCCATCAATCAAGGAGTGGATAAAAAAGATGTGGTATTTTATACAATGGAGTACTACTCAGCTATAAAGAAAGATTGCGTGGACACTTTTATAGGAAATGGACATGACTTGAGACCATACTCGTAAGTGAAGTAAATCAAACTCACATGTGTAATGTGTAAACACCATATAGTCTCCCTAGTGTAAGAAACTGAAAAAGTATATATGATCCAAAATCCACAACAAATACTGTGTAAGAGTAAGAAACTGTTCAAAGAGGAAAAGTAATTGGGATATGGAAAAGGAGCCAAGAAGGGAAGGAAAAGACATAAGTGTGTGTGTGTGTGTGTGTGTGTGTGTGTGATAGCTAAAGTGCCTATACTAATTGTATTAGCTATTTAAAAATAACAGTTAACATTCATATGATTAGATCAATTTTGCATGTCTATATCTGTTATTCTAAGCAACCCTTTTGAAGGTAACAATATGCAATATTACAACCATTGTCAAACTCCTATCATCTTGTTTTATAAATCTATACTGTTATTGCATGGGCTTGTTGTTGTTGTTTGCCTCTTTTGCTTTTCTTTTTTGTGTCTTTTTTTCTCAAATAAATTTTAAAAAATACTCACGGAAGGGCTCACCTCTGAACACAGGGGTACTGGAGACCAGGTTCTCAGCAAGTGAGCTTCTGAGCGAGGCTTTCAATTCACAGCAGGTCTCTGCATTCAGATAGAGCTTCACTCCTCCCCTGAGCCCTTCCCTTTGTTAGTGGTGCAGTGAGAGAGAAGGCAGGCCCCAGGTATGCGGCTAGAATGGGCAGGCAGGGGCTTCCAGCGTCGCCCCCATTCCCACCCCAGACTTAGTGGCCTCAAATGGCCCTCATTTCTGGTCTGCTCCCTTCTGTTCCCAGGCCCTCGTTCCTTCCTCCTTCCCATTCCCTTCATTATAAAAACATCCCTAAGACCTCTCAATAGAAACTTTAGGCATAGTTACATTTTTTTATTTTATGGAAAAAAAAATAAAACAATATTTCATAACAAAATAATAGGAGAATAACAATAGTTAATACATCACATGTTGGTATCTTTAAAGTAGTTGCTCAGGGCATAGTTACATTTTAAAAGTTATTAAAATAATGGATGAAGCCAAAACTAATTATGAGCTGCAAAGATATCCTTTCTAACCGCGATATTTTGCAAGGAACACTGAGATTCTAAGTGAACTTAATGGGGACATGTTATTAATAGTTTGGTTATCCTCAAATTAATAATAGCCTGTGGCTTGAAAAACTATGTCCTGTTTAGTGTATTTATTGCTATCTTCTAAACTGCATGATTTATAGTAAGGGTAAGCAAAGAGCTGCCTCTTTTGATCAACGTTAGCTAGATTCTTAGGCCTTAGAGAAAGAATTATGTCTCCAAATAACAAAATAAAAAATATAATATGGCTAAATTCCTTTAAAATGAGTTTAAAAACTAAAGTTCAGGAGAAAATAGATCAATTCTTAAAATTATATCTAATTTCAAATTCTGTCCTGCAATTTAAACCCTAAAGGTGCTTAGAATGTGATAAAATAGTTTAATTCTTCTATGGGTGTTCACTTTATGGAATGGTTCTGTTTATGAATGAAAAATCTTTGCTATGGCTTTGAAGAAGGTGAGACATTATTCATATTGATCTGGGATGTGGTGTGTATAAAGACATGCTGGTCACTATTCAATAGCCAGCCTGATTAGTTAGGGAATAACTATTCCACCAGAATAAATATCCCTGAAGGACCCTGGGTTCCGAAGACCAGTGTTGCCCAGGATGTTCCATCTCATGTCTGTCACTCCTGAAACTCCCAGGCCACCATCTAGAATCTGGCCTGCGGTCCTTTGGAGGTCACTCTTCTCAGATCAGACTGTGTGGCCACACTGATACTGTGGCCTTTGCTGCGAGGCCTGTGGATTCCGGCATCCTGTACCCACCAGGCGTCACACTGAGTCACACCAGGGCCAGGCTCGCAGAGGAAGCAGGCCAGAACCAGAACCCGCAGAAGCGCAGGTCTGAGAGAGGCGAACCTTGCAATCTTCGAGGAGAAAAGGGGCCGAGCGCTTTGCTTTTTGGGGATCGCTGGGCCTTTTATTTCTTCCGAACAGTGCTACCAGGTCCTTCACAAGAGGCTCTGTCTTGACCAGAAATGCCTAACGAAGCGTGCTGGAGGAAGGGGCTTACAAAGGACCTGGGAAGGAGAGCGGGGGAGAAAACAGAAGGGCCAGGTGACCACTGTCACAGACTTGTGCAAACCGGGGCTGGAGACACCAAATTCGGGAACCCACGGAAAACCCCTCTACACTGCGTGTGTGTGCAGACAAGCGCAGGGCGCCCACTTCCCGTGTTCTCCTCTTTCAAGCTCTTAGGCGAGCTGGGAAGGTCTTGCATGCACATAGCGAGGCTCCACGTCGCCAAGGACCTCGGGAGTCCTCTCTTGGCTAACTTAGGCTTCCTCCAGCCCGAATGCCCGGGTCTGCCGAGCTTCCTGCACACTCGTGGGCGGCCGGCACCGGAGCTGGGGAGCTGGGAGCAGACCCTGTGGCTGGGCCGCAGCTCCCCACAGGCAGGCGCGGCTGAGGCTGCGACCCACGAACTTCCAGCCGCCCTAGGTGGCCGTGCCTGGCAGTTTGCCTTTTATGCCCCCCTCCCGAGCAGGCTCTCAGTGCTGGCTCTGAGGGTTTCCCAGCTCACTCATTGCACCCCCTCTTCCACCACAACCTCCAGTGAGCTACTGGCGCCGCTCCAAAAGCCTCCCCGGCACCCAGCTCCAGCCCGAAAATAAACGCACCTTGCCAGAAAACGGGGGGAGAGGGATCATGTGAACCAAAAGAAGGAAAATTCTAGAAGAACGACCCCATTCTCCAGGAAAAGGTAATGAGGGGAAGCGAAACAGTGTGAACTTACTCGGAAATGCAAACAGAGCTCAACTCTCCCGGGCTTAAACAAAAGCCCGAAAGACAAGTCAGCCAACGCGCTCGGTGGCTTCCCAGAAAGGGCCTCATGAATGAGAATGGGTTGCTAGGTTTCCTCCCTTCCTCCCCACAATCGCTTCCCACAAGATTTCCACTGCCAAAAGACAGCGGGCGGGGCCTGCCCACAGCTGAGCCGGGCGCCTCGCCAGCACCGCCCACGAGGGCGCCCCGGGCCGCTCCCGCCTTCAGGACCCTGGAGAGCGCTCGCCGCACCCCTGGGACCCGCGCCCAGCAGAGGCGCACTCCCCTCCCGTGCTTGGTCGCACTGTCTCTTTAATTCTGCGTCCCGCCTCCACCTTCATTTTTCTTGGCAACCACCACTCATTTTTTTCACGGACGGATTCAATTGGGTTTTCTGTTTTATTTTGTTTTGCCTGAGGGGAGGGATTTGGGCTGGCCGAATTAGTGAACCACACTACCCAGGTGCACCAAGAAGCAGGGAAACCAAGCCTGCACAAGCCCAAGTGCCTTTCAGAAGCCACCAGGTTCAGCTTCTTTATCAATGAAGATGAACTCAAAGACTAAAACGTCACTCACCGGGTTACCCGCGAAGTTAGTAGCAATGCTCGGTCCAGAAGGTTGCGTTCCTGACTTTGACTCATGGTTCCCAAAAATAATATTTTCATCACTTTCCAAAACAAAAAACTTTGACCTTTGCCCTCATCACTTAAGTGTCGTGGGCAACAAGTGGGAGGATAAAAAGGCTGTGCTCCTGAAAACGAGACATCACGCGAAGTTCAGAGAGGATTCCTAGTAGTCGCCGCAACCTCGAGTCCTGGTCTCTTCTGCTGCCCTCAGTCAAGCTGAATTAATTAGTCCCTTCCTGCAGCCACCCTGAGAAGATCTGGGGTCCCTTTATCCAAGCCTCCCCTAAACAAGTGCTCCAGCGGAAGCCAGTAGCCAAGTCTAGCTCTGTGCAAACGGACAGCTAGGTTGGGTGTGGATGGGAGGCGGGAGGAGAGGACGAACAGGGAGATTTTCGTCCAAAGTCTCAAAGAATCAAGAGTTGCAAACACTCTTTCACACACGTCGCACCCAGTGTACAAATTCCCTAAGAAAGTTAGCACGCACACTCTGATACCAGGTGGGCTGGAGTGGGGTCAGTGATTTTGCGTTGCTAAGGGGCTTCTAGATACGGGCAGCGCAGCGGCTCCACTGACTATATTCGGGTGGCACCGAGGTAGAAAAGGAGGGGAGCAAAGCGGGAGATCTAACCTTTGGCCTTTCCTCTCCCGCTTTGGCCGACCTCTCCCTGCAGTCCCAAAGTTACTTCCCACAGTGCTGTAGCAATGGCCTCACTTCGGCGCTGGACGCCACAGTAACGCTGTGCCGGTTTTGTTTCTCTCCTTCCCGCACCCTGCCCTCCCGCCGCCGGCCCGGCACAGCTCCCAGGCTCGCCCGCCGCCCCGAAGCTGCGCAGCCTCCTCTCTAGCCCGCTCTGCAGCCTCGCGCAGCTCTTCGCTCACCTTCTCCGGCGACCGCCCCCCGAAGCTCCCCGGCGGCGCCCGGACTTCTCCCCTCTGCTTCCCGCCCTGTCGGCCGCGCGGCTGCGGCGGGCGCACGAGGAGCTCCCCGGCCGCCGCCTGCTCCTGCTCGGCGCAGCCCTGGCGCTGCCTGGCCGCCCCCCGGGGGGCCGCCCGCTGAGGCCGGCCGATGGGGTGGTCAAGCCCACAGAAGAGGAGGCCAGCGCCGGGCAGAGTTCGCCCATGCCCGTGAGTACTGTGCGCCCCTCCCCAGCCTGGCGCGCACGCCAGCCTCTCCCACTTGTTCCTGGCCGCGACAGACCCCGGGGCCAGCCGTGGGAGGACGCAAGGCCGGGGAGCAAGGGACGGAAGGGCGCCAGAGGATCCTGACCCACGCACGCACACACACACACACACACACACACACACACACACACGCATGCATACACACGCGGAGCCACTCTAGGCTACTTTCTCCCGGGCCACTCCTTCCCGGCCCAGGGTCCCCGGAGCGGAAGGGAGTCCTCTCCCACCCTCCAGGCTACTGTTCAAACTCGGCGCGAAGCTGCCCCCTCGGGCTGGCCTCCCCCAGACCCGCCTCCGTCCTGGCGCTCGCTCGCCCTCCCACTCCCCTGCCCTCTCCGGCGGCCAGGGAGGAAATGACGTGATGTTATTTTTGTGTCAGGTCAGTTATTTTGGTCCTCGGGCTCCGCGGCTCACTGCCCCGCCGCGACCGCTTGCCCTGCTCTTGGCGTCCGCAGAACTGGGCGCCAGGGTTTCCCCGCCGCCGCGTGGTCTCCCCGCTTCACGCATTCCGTACTCCGTAGTCCCCGGAGAAGGGGGAGTCAGGGGGCCCCACAAGCGAGTCCGCCACATCCCGAGTCGGGGGTCAGTTCTCCCTCCGCCCCGCCCCTGCCGGGTCGCCAGGTGCCGCCTCCGGGCGCTGGCTGCGTGGGACCGGATGGGGACCCCTCTCCAGTGCGGGAGAACGGGAGGCGGAGGCGGCCCAGAGCCCGGGCGGGGGCCGAGCGCAGAAGCACCGGGCGCGCAGTACAGAGCCGCGATTCCCGGGCGGCGAGCACCACCCACGCGCAGCGCCGCGCCCCGCTCCATTCACAAGGTCCGGGCGCGGGCCCGCTCTCCCCGGTGCGCTCGGCCCCCGCACGCTCGGCGCGGGCGTGGAGAGCCGGTGCTTTGCAGACGCCCTCAGCGCCAGCGGGCTTGCACCCGCACCTTGGGCGTCTCCCTGGGGTGGGGGCCGAGGAGGGGAAGTGTCTAGGCGCGGGGCTCGCCGCGGGGGGCTTGGAGAGGCGCCCCCAGCCGCGGCCGCCAGAGGGAGGCGAGCCCGGGATTGCCCAGCCCGCGGGGGAGGAGGGAGGGGGCGGGGAGCAGGCAGAGCGGAGAAGGAAGAGGAAGCGAGAAGTGGGCGAAGCGCAGACGGAGCTCCGGGAAGGGGAGAGCCGAGGAGAGCCACCGCGGGCGTAGTGAGGACCGCGCTCGCCATTGTAATCAATTCAGGCACACACCGGACGCATGCGCACGGCCAACGGAGGCGAGCCTGCCGGAGCGTCCCCTCCGGCTAGCCCGGGGGACAGTGGGACCGTGAGTACCCGGCTTCCTCAGTACCCCCGTTCTTCCCCTCCGCTTCTCCCTGAGGCTCCGGCTGGGAAGAGGCAGGGGCTGGACGGGCGCGCACCGGGGCCCTGCGCGCCGCCAAGGAGAGTGCGGATCCGTCCCCCCTCCTGCAGCCCACCCGGCCCGGCCGTCCGGCCGTCCGTGCGCGCTGGGAGGAGGTGCGGGCTGCGGGTGTGGCTGGATCTGCGGAGGGGCGTCGAGCCACGACCAGGCTCTACCTGGTCCGCCGGGGTGTCCTCGCAGTTCCAGCTCCGCAGTCCCGGGTCTGTGACAGGGCAGGGGACGCAGCAGCCCAGCCGTTAAGTCCGGAAAGCTAGCAGATCACCCCGCGCACATTTAGGAAACCGGACTCGTGAAAAGGGGGGCGTTCTCCCGGGACGAGAAAAGGACTTGGAGGGGCCCGGGTGTCCGAGGCGGCCGTGTGCGCGCAGATGGGAAGGGGAAAGACGCCCCGAGTCGCAGCACCTCCTCTTCGGAGACCTGCAGCCCAGGCGGGGCCAGGAACAGGGCCAGGCAGCGTGGCCCCGCGCCCGCGCCCTGGAGGGACAGCCTGGTGTCTGCCTTTACCTGGAGACGCTCTCCACGCCCTGGCAGCCGCACCGACAGATTTGTCCGTTCAGGTTCTGGCGTCGTGGAAATTTTCCGTGAACAAACCCTGGCGCTTGGTCTTCCGCACTCGGTTGCTCTGAGGAAGTTGGGAAGAGTCTGGGCGCCCGGACTGCGCTCATCGGAGCCTGGCGGTGGGAGGATGGCGAGGTGGGCTCCTACGCGGGACAGAAGTGGGCGACCCAGAGGAGGTTCTGAGTCCTTAGCAGCCCTCCAGCGTGGCAGAGTAGGTGGCCTGGGTGCCTTAGAAGACGCAGGAAGCAGAGACAGCGGTGGGCTCTTGGGGACCTGTGTGCGCAAAGATCCCTCCTGCCCATTCCTGGGGGTTACAGAGGGGACGACGGCTTGAATGGCGCAGTGGTATGGAAGCGGGCGTTTGGAGGAGAGGTGTGTGTACTCTGCGGCATTCCCACATCTCCAGAAGGTGGTGGACGTTGTGGGAAGTTGTCAGAGGGCGCTATGACCTGCCCACTCCGCCCCCACCTGTGGAAGAGGCTTTGAGGAAGAAGGGCACCAAGACTGAATTGGGTCGTGAGCTTCCCAGATTCTCGGTTTGGGTCAGAAAAGGATACCCGCAGCGGAAGGGCGGCGGACTTAAGTGTTCAGGGCCGAGCTGGGGAACGCGAGCAGGTGCTGCCCAGCCACCCGCGGCGGACAGGATGGAGAGGGCTGCATGGTGGTCAGGATTTCTGTCCTGCAGGAGGAGAGCGCTGGAAGGGAAATCACTCCTGTCCCCTCTCCTCAGCAGGGCTAGAGGCCAGTTCTTTGACGTGAGCCCCCTAGTCCACCACCCAGTAGGTATCCCGCTGAGGTTCTCCAGTGGTTGCCTTCGGACCCTCTAGCCGGCCAGGCAGTCACCTGTCCAGTGGGGCTCCCAGTTGTCCCAAGTAAGGGGAGCAATGGACTCCAGCCTCAGTCATCCGCCCCTGCAGGGCTTGGCTTCAGTTGACTTCCAGTGGCTTCAAACCGAGAAAGGGACCAGAAAAAGATCCACGTTTAGGAAGTGTTTGACTCCTTCCAGACTTGATGAGAACACTTGTATTGAAATAACTGTCTTTAAATTCCTTGGCACAATCATGATTTGCAACTCACTGTTTTTCTTTATTTTCTCTTTTTGCTGAAACCTAATTTTCTGTTGGGTCTCATCCTGTTTTTTGTTTGTTTGTTTGTTTTTTCTTTTTATCGGATCGAACCAGGGATCGAACTCACGACTGCCTGCTTGCAAGGCAGGCGCTTTATGCCGCTGAGCTAAATCCCCAGCCCTAGGGTCTCATCCTGTTTATGGTCTGTTCATTAAGTAGCATCTTTTGCTTTGCATGCCGCTAATGCATGTGATAGGCAATGTGGTCTAGTGGTGAAGAGTCCTGGGATCTTTAGCTGTCAGTTCAAATCCCAAACTGACTGTGTGACTCAGACAAGTGACCTAACTTCTCTGTGCCTTAGGATAAATAGAGGTGCCCATTTCGTGATGTAGTTACTGGCATTCAATAAGTCATACGTTGTGCTCTTAATAACTTCCTGATGCATACCAAGTAAAAACTATCATGAGAATGATAAATTAGTTCAGCGGACTGCAAAAAAAAAAAAAAGCAAGAACATGTGTATTTTGTCTATTTTAAAGTGTATGTACAAAGAAATAGATGTCAATCGTCAAAATCAGGAAACTAATGTTTTCTGTCAGTATTTAAATACAGTGCATTTTTATCTCTAGGCCTTTTATGAGACTCATGCAAGCTTAAACAGCCTTTGAAGGAATTTGTCTCCTAGCTTCAAAAGGGTTCACTTTACAAAACGGATATTTTTTCAAATGCAAGTTGAAAAGGGCTGGGGAGGTGGCTTAGTGCTTGCTTGACAAGCCCAAGACTCCACAGGCCCTGGGATGGAGGTGAGGGGAAAGAAAATTCATGCTGGGGCTGTTCTGTGGAAGGGAGAAGCGAAGTCATGATGTTTATAGAAATTCAGTGTCTGCACTGAAATACTGCATTGAGTCCATTTTATTTCAAAGAATCTGCTAAATTTTTCTTGGGGATTAGAGGGGCATTTCTCTGAGATCACTGTAGACACTTGTTTGTAATAACCTTTATCATGTCAGAAATGCACAGTAATGACAATCTGGTGATTTAATCTACCTCCTACATTTGCAGATAAGGAAACATTCAGGGAGATTAAGGATCCAGCTAATTAGGGGCTAAAATAGGATTAGAATTCTTTCTGCCTCTCTCCCCAGGGCTCTTACACACCACTCTGATGATTTCCTATTTACAGCAGACTTGTGAACTTTTCACGAGCAGGAGACCAGAAGGTCTCTATACGGAACAAATATACAAGCGTGCGTTACAGACAGTAGTGGTGAGGCCACTGTTGTCCAAAGGTTTGTCCTGGCCTTTCACAAAATTAAACATGACCACATGATTTGCCTCAGGTAAAGTAAGGTCACAGATCAAGCTAGAGGCCTGTTTTGAAACTGTAAAGCTCACTAACGTATGCATTCAGTTCCATATCCTGTTAGTCCCTGGAAGAAGCTTTGCATTGCAAATCATTTTTAAACTTTCTTAAAATCTCCCTTCTGTAGCTTTGCTATGAAAAATGCTTGTAGGAAAGGCTTTCAAAATTACACAGATTTTATGGACTAAGAAGAATGAAGAAGAAAACAAACAGCTTCCTTATTTTAATGCAAAAGCCCAGTTAATGCTTTGATTCCAGGTAATTCAATATCACTTCCTAAAGTAATTCCTAAAATCCTTCTTCATGTGGCAATCCTGACATTCATCTTCCAAGAGCTATGTAGATTGCAGATTATAGATCCAGCCCTCACAGGAACAGTTTAGGAATTCCATGGCAGAGACTTTTGGGTGAGCATATGGACTTGCAAAGTTATTTGTAGGAATAGTGTGTTTTCCAGGGAAGGTACTACCAGGAATTGTGCCTGATCCGGGCAGAAGGAAACTGATTCTCTCTAGTGTTGAACTGTGTATCTTACTCTTGCCTGCATCCTGCGATGGCTACCG